GCGTTCGCCTTCGGGCTCTCCTCCTTGTAGAAAATTGTTGCCCGTTCCCCATGCGAGGCAATGAAGGATGACACCGGCTCCGTTCTTGTCCAAGTGGTAGGTCTTGTCAATGACCCGGGCCGTGTGCCACATGTCGTAGGAGACGGTGCCTGAGGTTTCAAAACCTTGGGCGTAAAAGCCCTGCGCGGGCATTTGAGTGCTTGGGCGGAATCGGCCCGACTGCAGTAAATTGAGCAAATTGACCTCCTCGGTCGCGACACGCGAAGATATGCACCGTGCCATATCGGGTATCTGTAGCCCTACGGCGATTGGGAATGTGGTCGATCCATCACCCAGGCTTTGCGTACATCGGCAGCTGCCCAACCGCAACCACCCCTACCTCGCCGACCGCAGACCTTGTGACCCCTCCTCGCCGTCCCTCTGTCCACCCAACACCACCTGACATCCCTTTTCCAGAACCCCCTGTTCCATCCACCTGGAAACAAACCGAGGAGCGTTCGGACGCAAACACGTCAGGCGGCCAGCAATTCTACAAGCGCGTCCAACCCACCGCTTGGAGCCGCAACCGCCAATTGGCGGGCCTCCCGACATTCCAGCTCTTTCCCTGGCTGCTTGCTTTTCACGGACCCTCAGACTATACAGCTCGATCCCTTTCCAACAACAAGTATACGAGCCTGGTACCCACCAGATCCATTGCCGAGTCGGTGTTCCTGACACATCTCATTCAGCAGATCAGGGAACAAAACACTGATTTGGACGCCACCGCGGATGCACTTCACCGCTCCGAGGGCAGGACTCCACCATCAAAAACCACAGACGCCCGAGCATTCATGCAACCACTGATGGACGTCACCCTGGCCACCACCCGTCACCATGCTCCTGCCCCGGCTGATCGCCAGCTCCATTCAAAGGAGGCCGAACTCCAACGAGCCACAGAAAAGCTACAGGCCCATGGACTCCAGCTATCCCCGCAGAATACCACGGCGTCCAAAGCACTGCAGCGCCAGCGGCCCCCGCCACACTGGCCACACGCAAGTGGTTCGCGCAGTATATTAGCACCTGGGCCAACCGTTTGATGAGGTCATCCAAGACTCGGCTATCGAAATTCTCAAGCTCCTGCAGTCGTCGGGAGTCACTGAAACTCAGCTTCAGAAAGCAGCGGTGCGCTATGGCATTCCACTCGGCAAGGTCACCCGCTTGGGCATCCGCAGCTTGCTGCAAATGGTGGCCACCGGGGCTGCCATGGCCTGTTGACTCGCTCATACAGCGCGCCGAGGCTCCAACCTTACCACACTACAACAGATCCGCACACTCCACAAAGCACTATCACACACTCTTCACCATGCCACTTATGTCGACCGTGCTGAGGCCATCTACGCCCTCGGACTACTCCACATCACAGCCCTCTTCATCTTTCCCTCCCACACCTTCCGCTCCAAGCAATGGCGCTCCCGCCTGACCCAACTCAACGTCCGCCCAGACACTTGCACATTCTCCCGTTTCCTTTCACCCAATTCTGTTTACATCAAACTGTACTTCAACTCTCACGACACTCAACGCCTTTACCACCAACATGGCCACTGCTACGTTGGCTCCACATCCATTGGCATCCCATGCAGAGAACATAACCGGAGAGCCAAACTTAAGCAATTGGCCAACAACACACCCATCTCCGTAGAACTCTCTCTGCGATACTGGCATTCCACCAATACAATCACCCAGTACTCCACCGTACACATTGCCACATATCCATATCGGACTCAAGTCGCCCGCCACTTGGCATGGCACAAGGTGACCAGAGCGGTCAGAAAATTCTTTTCGGCCCATTGGGGCCTGCCTTAATGTTAGGTGCACACAGCTTGTACATACCAAATTCAGGCTAGGTTCACATATGTCAATTATCTAATGAGGTTTGGCTTCGTTGTTGGCGGCCCCTCCACATGGTTCCCTCTATTCTTCCCCTTTCACACACACTTCCTTTCCTTCTTCTTTTCATGTCTTCTCCGCCTCACGTCCTGTCATCTCATTCCTTTCCTTCTTTTGCGTGCACATCGGTCCTGCCCTTAGTGTACGCGCACTTGTACATGAAATCTAGGTTTGAGGTCGCCCAGGTTGTTACAAGGAGGTTGGGTTCATCGGTTGTCGCTGGTCACTTAGTTTCTTTTCATTGCAACCACCTACACCTGGTCTGTCTTGTCCTCTTTTCATGTCCTCATCCATTTGTCTGCTTTACGCGCACACATGCACATTTGTCTAAGCTTTAGCTTTTCCGCGCCTCCCCTTGTGGGAGGAGTGCGTGTGACATCCTTGGACTCACAGGGAATCCGTTGACTTTAGGTTTAGGTTTGAAAATTGCAGGGGGCGACAGAGTCGCTGCATGGCTGTCGCCAACGAAGCTCCATGCAGTTGACTAGGATATCACGGCTGATCACCGTGACATACCTGCAACTTGTGATTTTCGTAACCACGATCCCATTCTAGTCTCTTGGAGGCTGTTTCAGGATGAAGAGGTTTTTGCTGCTGTCAAGGGCTGATGCACTCTGCAGATTTGTCGTTCGCGATCCTTGGAATTGAACTTTGAGACTTTGGCCTCCTAACTACGAGAGAGGACTCCCTGGATGTTCAGACCACCTTACTTATACCTGTCCTGTTTCCTTAGGTTTTCACTTAGGCTGGCGTGTGGCAAACCGCAAGCCGTGTCAGTGCGCAATATCTCGAATGTGCCGTAGAGAGAGAGAGAGAGGAAAAGAAATAAAGAAAGAAAGAAAGAAAGAGATCTTGTATACAGGCCAGCGGAGCAAGTCACCTTACCATCTTTCAACCCTGAAAGGTTATGATTAAGCCCCAACAGTAAAGTCAGCAGGACATGCAACACTCTGAGCGCAAGAGAGTTCTGAGCTTTGCGCAAGATATTGTGTCTTGACCTGTTCATGAAAAAACTGTCAAACGGATCAAGCTTTAGGCTCATCAACAAGTTGCTTGGAAGAATCACCCCCATATTCTCGAGCCATTTTCTTCCACAACATTATTTGTCAAAAACCAGTGCCCATCGAACTGAGCATTTCTTGACGAAAGACACAGCTGGTTGTCTCTTCAGGTCTCAGTTCGACGCCAATGTTGGACCAGCCTCGCAGCCATGAGTTGAGTTCACCAAATCGCAGAACAACAGAGTTCACATCTATCTGGTCATCTCCTTTCTGTCCCTTTCTGGGCTTCAGCCCCACGACAAAGGCGCCTTTGCGAGCTGCGGCCAGTGGACAGACGGCCAGAGGCTTATTGAACCACCAATGTGTCTTGAAGCTTTGCAAACCTCATGGGTTTGTCGGTGCTGCTCGATTCAGTGGCTTCACTAGGTAGGCTAGGCTCAAACAAAACAAAATACAGTAAATATCCTTGACCATGGAATTATCCTACCTGCACCGTACAATCCACCAGATAGGACCACTTGAAGCAAAGTCTGAAAGGTGCTTGAAAAATGTGGAGCTTCCATTTCCACCAGCACTGAGGCTGCTGACGCTGCCGAAATTCTTCCAGGTCCTGTTGGGGCCGTTGCAGGCTTGCAACCGTAGACCATACATGAATATGGTCTTGATATGGATGTGCAGTCAAATAGAAAAGCATATCTACTTGCGCCTGAACTATCTGTGGAAGACCCAAACATGGTAGATTGATGTGTAGTCCATCCTCAACACACTTGCTGTACTTTGTTGGGGTCGCCTGCTGCCACCATGATCTCGTCTCCAGGGGCATACACTTACCACAGAAGAAAACTGCAGTAGATCATGGTGAAGTCTGCTGAAGAGCTGAAAACCAGTTGTCACAGCTCGTAAACCTGATGAGCAAGGGCAAAGGCCTGAATTCGTTTGTTTCCTTAATCCAGGAGGAATCGCTTCTGGCCTCTTCACGGCACTTTGTCTTGGTCTCACCATTTGTGTTGACCTCCTGTGAGCAAAGCCATGTCTTGTGAAACAGGTCATGTTTTCACTCGCATTCTCGCATCCACCTATAACAAATCTTGATTGAAACATCTAAGCATTGACAGGTATCACAAATAACCAGCTGGTTTACTTCTAAAGCAAAACCTTCTTCACCCCTCACCATGTTTCTGTTGCGAGTCAGGTTTCTTCCTCAAATGAGACTCTTTCTCAGAATTCTTGTGTCTCCTGACACAAGCTTGATTTGAAGACCTCTTGCAGCGAGCTTGCCGCAGCGGCGGCTTCTTTCTCCTCAAGCAAAGGGAAGTGCAAAGCTGAGGCTTTACTCCTCCAGCTTCACGCTCAGACCCCCGATTCTTTTTAAGGGGTAGGCCGTCAGTAGAGGTAAGTAGCTAGAGGTAGGTAGTAGCTACAAGAATGCTACTACCGAACTACCGACTGGACGCAGGATAGCTCGCGCTAATGATTTGGTTGCTAGAGTTTTAGGGAAACTTAATTAACTATATAATACCATATGTTTTTGAGGCACCCACCGGGTGTGAACCCGTTGAGCTCGCTTCTGCAGGCTCAGCCATGGCACAAACGTGAAGTTTTGCACTACCACATGGGTGTGTGTTTGTGTGCGTGTGTGGTTGCATCCGAAGGTCCTAAGGCTTCATATCTGTTCCACGCCACTGACAAGTCTGCAAACGTTCTCATTGTTTTGGTTGCCAGCAAAGCCTATTGCACTCCACGAGGGGTTTTGTCCATGTGCCCATGGCCAGGCTGTCATTGACTCTCTGTCCGCTGGATAGATCGGCGTACTGCTTGAAGCGTTTCCACAGCCTGTGTTGTGTGTGTGTCTGGGTCTGTGCCCGGCTGTCTGTCTGTCTGTCAATGAAGCCAACAACTATGCTTCATTGTGCATCTTCATGTTCTTTGTCATAATGGCTGAGCATATATAAGAATGTGATCGCTGGACCGTCGTTCCCAGATGTTCCAAGTCTCTACGGTTCAAACAAGCACAAACGATAATTGGGGTGTGAGCTCTGATGAGACCCCAGGACTGCGCAACGGGGGGAGTACCTTGAGCTTCCTTCGCTCGTTCTCCTTCATGGCAGAGCCGTTCACGCACACTCGAGCCTGCCATACAAGTCATTCTCTTGCGACATGAAAATGGCCAAAGAAAAATATTAATTATGTTTGTACATCAACGTAAACAAACATAAACATGAAGGTTTGCACCTGCCCAGAAGCACTTCTCGAACACAACTACTCAACTACGCGATGAGAGGATCAAAGACGGCCGTTCGGGCTTTGCGGGTTTCGGGGATGTCCCAATAAATTCATGAGTGCAGTGCGATGGGAGGATGTACTCTTCGAGGCTCATGGTCGTTGTTGAACTTTGAGAAATATATTATAGTGGTAGTTGGTTGCAAGAATTCCTTCCCAAAGTTTTTTGTTTGGTTGTGTCCACCCACAAGCATGGCAAAGTAGTAACTTTCACGATGAAGTAGCAAAGGATAACAAATAATGCTGTGTCTATATGATGGAATCAGATCGTTGCTTCATGTGTTCATGCTATCTGATGGTTACTGCATCCGTGAATCCTAGTTCCTAGTACTTCGGTTCCCAACTAAATCTAGTCCTACAACGCCGCCTTCATGCTCAAGCCGGGATGTCCAGTTTCTGGCTGCTGGCAGGTGCTGACCTCAGACCCCCAAAACAGCCTACCGAGCAACTTCAGAATCAACCTGAGCCGCCCAACCACCACACCCTCTGGGAGGTTCTCAATCTCGCAGAGATGTTCTGGCATCCCCAGACCCTGGCTTGGCTGCGCTAGGCTGGCCCGACGTGTCCAGTGGGTGGAAGTCAAGTGATGTCCGACAGCTTCTGTCCATGCCTGTAGCACAATCTTGTTCTCAGTATTGGCACCAATTGTGATGGGCTGCCTGCGCTCGGCCATTTTGCATTTTGCGGCTAGGTCGAATCTATGAGAACAAACAAACGAACAAACAAAACGAACAGCCACTTAATTGTGATATCAAACTGCACAGAAATCACAATATATTGTTGTCTGTTGTTTTCTTGAGAAAGCTCGAGCCTCAGTGGGAGGAAGTACATCATCTTCCCTGACAAAGCAGGATCCTGTCAGACTCTTTGGCACATCTGCTATACCCTTTCACATAACTGCACATGACTCTATACAAAGTCAGAAAAAATGAAAATGAAAGAAAGCAGGCCAATTCCTCATGTTCAACAGGATCAACAGGCCAACAGGACCATGTAAATAAAGGACTCATCAAACCGGATGAATCTCGCTTGGCCAACCTCAAATATCTAGGGCATGATGAATATACATGTGTAACCTTTGGGATCTGTCGTGTACGCCTCAATCTGTGCGTTCCTTGAGGCCTTAAGGGGCAGCACACCACTCACCGTTCTGAACACAATCTTTCCACCCTGACTTTCCTCGTTCATGTTCAGCAAGTACGGCACATCTTTGTCGATGCCAATAGTCTCAGAGCACAAGAAGTTGCAGTCATGCGCATAAATGATCACTTGTTGGCCTCCTAAAAATCTAGGAACCAAATGAATAGTGCGAGCGCTTCTTCAGGGAAGTTCCTCCCGCCGCCTTTAGGGCGGTGGGGGGAGTTTCTTTGAAGAAGCGTGAGCTATCCTGCGTCCTAAGTAGTAGCTACTGAAGCTACTAGCTACCTCTTCTACTAGCTACCTAGCTACTACTAGCTACCTCTAGCGGCCTACGCCCCCCAAACAAAAAGCAAAATGTGTATACTATATAATATATATATA